TGGAAGAATAATTTGCAGCACGGACAACTGCATGTTTAGCAAAACCTTAATAATTCCATTAACCCAGATCTTCAAAAGAAGTTTGATTAAGTCAATAGTACCAACCCTGAGTCTGTCCTTCTCTATAGAGCAGATAGATATCACATACTGTGAACATACTGTCCTTCATTATAAGAAGATGCAGAATATGAACAATGGCCTAAACAAATCCCAGGTGAGCTGACACGGTGTACTCTTAGTTATAACAGGCCAGTGGCATTGGACATCAGTCTGGTCCAGTGTGTTGGATGACCAAGCTAAATGCTCCATTTTCTAAAAATATGATGGGCATTGCAAACAAGAGGAATTATTGTGTATCACCAAAGGATGTAACTAAGCAGATTGATTAGGTAGTGCAAAGAACCAGATAAAATCCTGTGTGGATAAGAAATATGTAATGGCTACCAAGAGGGATATTTAAAGATTAATTAATTTGTGCACATGGCCACATTTTGTTTTAATCTCTTACCTCCGTTCATATCTACATCCATTTATGCCTTTAAAGCAATTGTTCCTTTTCTTACTTTCTTATCTATCAGAAGTTTTCACCTGAAATCTGAATGCCTGATTTGGATTGTTAATACAGTAGCTACTGCAAGTTTTTTCAGAGCTATTTTATGCTTGATATTTTTGACTTCACATTTCCTGTCCAAAGGGCTGTGGACAGCTCTCCCTCCTAGGAATTTCAATCTTTTTTCAGAAGGGGGAAAGAAGGTATTTCGTGTTCTTGTGCTTAATAAGTGAAATGAGATAATTTATAAGCCTTATGATAAATCATACTTAAAGGAACCAGATCACATATTTTGAGCTTTGGTTTGGTCTTGGCAGGTTTGCAATAGGCTAAGATAGTCCTTTAGTGGTCAAAAAGTCACTCTTCTACACCAGGCTTTTAGCAGAAAATTATTCTGCAAGTCAGATACAAATTTCATATCACATCTCAGAGTTTTTATTAATTAAAGATATTTGGCACAGAACAGTCACTAGTGTTCCATAGGCAGAACTAAAGAAGACCTCAGAGATGAGTGGTATATTAGAACCTTGCTCTATGGTGCCCAGATATGCTCCATTATCTGTCTGTCTGTTTGTCTATTTATCTATCTATTTGAAGTTAGTTATATCTGTGTTTTTCATCAGTATAATAAATACATTAATATGACACCTTATTTTATATGGAGAAACCAAAAAGGCCATTTTGTCATACAGCAAAATTGTGAAACACCTTCAGATTTTGTTAAAAATTGCAGTAATAGTCTGTAGCTAATTATATGAATTTGATTTCCCCCCTCAAGCACAGCTTCTCCATGACACATTTAAGCTGTGTAATTAGTGTTTTGGATAATAAATTGGTTTTCTATCAGTCTGTTTTATTTGTTATTGCTAATGAAATTATTGTAACATTGGGCTTAGCAAGTGTAGGAACTCTGTTATTTTACCTTGTGTTTTAAAAGCTATTCCCTATTTGTGTTGCATACCAGATGTCACACTAATTATTATCTGCAGACAGGAATGCAAGCTTTGCTCTAAATGTAGAGCTTTTATAAAAGTATTATGCATTAAATGGTGCAAACTACTGTTATGCTCCAGTATATTAATACTTTGAAATCTCCTCTTGTTGTCTTAGGAACATCTTGTAACTATGATTATGAAACCGAAAACTCAAATTTTTAGAATTAATGGGATCTGGATATCAAATGCTATGTTCATTCCTACTTACCCCAGCTTATTGAAGTTGGTTTTTATTATGGAGGTGTGGCTTTTTCACTTTTATTTCCTCTCTGAGATACCTGTATACAAATTTGTATTAAAAAAACCATAACAATTCTTGTGAATCTTCAGACTTAGAGCAGATTTTTTTTATTTAAAAATAAGTAAAATTTGTCCCACAGTCTTTAGTTTAAGTAGGAATACCATCAGCACATGCAGTTGTATACATGTATTTTAATCCCTTTAAAAGCCAAACTTTTTGAAACTCGCAGCCTCTGCTAGCACTTGTAACTGACCTTTTCAGTCAGGAAGAGACTTGGGGCTCTTCTCACTTCAGTTGAAGAAGAGAAAGAAGAATGGACCTGGGTAGTTTTGTGGAGTATGCCTGTTATTTCACAGTTAGCTCACCTATTCAGCTCTGCTGCTAATGTTGGATTTTTTACTGCAGGGGGACTTTGGGTGAAAGGCAAAATGAGAGGACATAGGCTCTCTGGCGTATTCTGGGGAATACCTGCTCAACCATATTAATAATAAGAGTTTCCATAGAACATGGGACAGTAAGATACAGTGATTTGGCTTTAGCAACCTAATTCTAACCATTTTCTCATTTTCAATTTCTTCTAAATCAATACGGAACAATTAAAGAAATAAATTTCAGTGCTTTGAAGAGGAATACATTTCAGTGACATGATTCTGCATATGCGAGGAAAGTGTTCTTAAAGAGAAAAGCCAAAACTGCTAACATTTAATCTTTGATCTTATTAAAGAGCCTTTAATCTTATTGCATTGAAGCAAAATTTATATTCCACTTGCTCAGAGAAGACGTCAGGAGCAAGATGGCTTCATAGGTCATTCCTGTGTAGGTGTTTTTAAGAAGCCGGAGTAATAGACTTCACCAGTAGCATAGCTAATTATCTAGGAATTAAATTGAAGCAGCAGCCAGTTTGCCCAAGCGCTGAGTGTGTGGGGTATGTGGGAAGACATACCTGCATGCATGCTTTTGTAAAGCTCAAAACCAGACTGGAACACACAGTCTCAGAAGATTTATTTCATATTTTTCATATTGACGCTCAGTAAGGTTCTGAGTCAAACTATTAAAGTCAAAAGTTTTATTATTGTTGGGATTTTGTTAAGGAAGAACACAAAAATGGCAGCATGTGTGGATTGTGCCTTTTCAGATGTTTGGTTTTATGTAACTGGTAAAACTGCTGGGTTTACGTAGGATATGTTCCAGTAAAAATGATGGGCTTAAAGGTAGGCCATCTACTTTTGATAAAAATAAGAAACAGCAAAGTGTTCAAACTGATCTCTTACCAGAGCACAGAGAGATCTGTATGGCAGAAATAATTTTATCAAAACTTGTCTCTCATTGATTTTAGCTGAAATTCATAGGAAAATTAGAAGTTTCAAAATGCTGTAACACTATAATGTATGTAATTTACAGCAATTATGGACTGTAAAAAGTGGGAAGAACCAGAGGACCTGTTCTCATGAGATACCCAGTGCAGATGTTTTATTTCAATCTGTTGCTAATGGGGCTTCACAAAGATTTGCGTCCTTATTCAAACCAGATCAGTAATGATTTGCTGATCACTGCCACAGGATGATGTTACTCATCTCCTGTTCTAGTTACAGTATAACAACATGTATTGGCCAAAAGAAGTATGAGAAATAACTAATTTTCTACTATTCTATATTTGACTGTAGTTTTTAATGTAAATGTGTTTTTTTTCAATCTTTACATATAGTCAGTGATAATCTAAGATTATCTAAGATGCAATGACAAAATACAAAAATTCACAAAACCAAGAAGAAGGTTAATAAAGGACTTTCCTTTAGTTCAAGCAGCCAATTTAATTCATTTCAGGGATGAGGAGCTATGGTAGTGTTCAGCTCACCTGCCAGAACATCTGACATCTAGATGCTTAGATTAACGTACTCATCAGATTGCTCTCAGTATTCAAGGAGAGACTTGGCACCTACTGTTGTGTCAGGTTGTGATGGTCTGCGCTGTAGAGCTGACTAGCTCTGTTCATAAGCAGTAGGAGGATCATGGGCTGAGCTAGACACCTCACTTTTTGGTCACTGGGCATAGGTGAGTTAAATCCCATCCCTCCTATTTTGCATTTTTCTCTCAAATGTATGAACTTGCTCTCAGCAGAGTTGAATGTATGGTGGCATCACTAATACATTAGTGATGTAATAGTAAGTGAAGGGATCCAGTGCTCAGTGGATTTGTTGCAGTAATTCAGCAAGGCAAAACTAAAGTATGAGTAACAACAGGATCACACATAGTTTCTGAAGCTACTCTGGAGCAGTGCCAGTGTTGCAGGAGTCTATCATGGAATTGCATGTTGCTGGATGGACTCAACCACTTCTAGCCATTGTCAACCGAGACTGCAAGGCAAGAGGCGCAAGTGCCAGCTCTACTCATAGCTACATAGCAGAGCTGTGGGTTTGGGTTTTTTTTTCTGGAAGGAGAGCTTTTTCAAGATGGATGTGACATTATTTCATTTATATCAAAAGCAAAATGGTGTCACAGCAGACTGTCTACTGGAGACTGAAGTCAGAGTCCTGCTGGGTGCAGATGAGTTAGCTCTAACAGGCTCGTTTAAGCTGATCCTTACCCTTTATTCCTTCTCCTTTCTTCCTTTACTCATTTTTTTCCTAATGGAGAGAAACACATCATTTGTTATAATTACATTAGGCCCTCACAAATGACTCATCTTATTATGGGCACCAGCAGAATTAACTATCATGAACAGAGCAAATTTTTTAACCCAAAATATATTGTTATATCTGAGTTATAAACCTTTGAAATGAAACTGTTGTCTTAAAAAGCTTGTAGTTTAGTAGTAGCAGTCGTATTTGCCTCTATAACAAGAACCAGAGCTACTAATAAAAATACTTTGTTATTTTAAGTGATGTCAAACTTCTGTAGTACCAAATTGAAAAACAAGCAAGACATTATTAGACATTGTCATAAAGTGTGTCAATTTAAAATCTGAAACACCATGAATGCAGATATTCCTAATCTGGGAAAAAGAAGTGTGTAAAATGAAAACCAAGTATATCATGTGCAGTGACTATATCTGAAAAAGTATGAATGTCTATGTGTCTACATACATACATATATGAGTGTATACTGTCTTTGTATAGATACTCGCACATACAGAAGATACTATAGCACTTCAAATTTCCTTCCTTTTTTCTATGTAAAACTAATTGCAAATTATTTCTTTTTGTTCTTCTCACAGCTGAATTTTTATTCCTCTTGTGGGGTGTTTATCTCTGCTATGCAGTGCGGACAGTCCCATCAGCATTTCATGAGCCACGTTATATGGCTGTTGCAGTTCACAATGAGCTCATTATCTCCGCTATATTCCATACAATTAGGCAAGTGATCCGTAGATCTAGTAATTAACTGATTTTCTTTCAGGTTTCATATGGTGCAACTTAAAATGAGTGAATGGGATAGGGATGTATAACGGAAGGTCTCATAAATGTTTAATTCCACTAATTAAGTGATTACTAAACTTAAAAGTGTTCCCATAGGATTCAAGAATATGTACAATCAACTTGTTAATTGTATAATTAGGGGGTTTTTCAGTATAGCTAGCTGATATGTTCTTGGATCAAAGTTCAGTATATACAATAAATTAGATATAGTGTCTGTCTTCAGTCATCTGCCTACTGCTCACTGGTTTGTATCTCTAGAAAAACAGCAGGTAAGAATGTTGCTTTATATTAACTTTCCCTGGTGTGTAACACATTGGCAAGGTGCAGCTGTATCTTAAGATAATTGTACTGGCTTGTCCATGAAGCATAATGTTTTATATGCTGACATAAAAAATTGTTATGCTTATGATGCTGTAACACTAATATAAAGCACATGTTTCTTATGAAGTTTATAATGAGCTCTACATTTCAGACTTGTAAATTATTAGAGTAGTAAAAAATAAATAAGGGTCTTTGCCAGAGACATGAAAATTGCTATATATGGCTTTCCTACAGAGTACTCGGTAAAAATGAATAGAAAAATCAATGCTAGATAGCATGAATTTCATCTCATGCTGTAAGAGACTCTTATGACATTCTCACACCTTTCTTTGCCTCCTGACAGACCTTATCTACTAAGTTTTGGGGTTTTTTTATATCGCTCCATTGACAGTCTTCAAATACTCTTCTCTGTTCTTTGGTCTGTCTTGGAATTCACTTTTCTCTCTGCCTTCTTGATGTTTGCTTCCATGAGGCATCATTTTTTTCCGAGTAAACATCAGCAAAGCAGATCTTTCATTTCTGCTCCTTCCAGGTGCTCTTTTCATTGTAACAAAGTTTGCTGCGTTTCTCAGGTTTGCAACTTTTTCTTTCATTCTCCTTCTCCTAACCCCATATCTCAACATCCACATACTTTCAAAAACTTGTTTTTTATTCCGTAACACAAACATCTGCAAGAAAAATGTTTAAAATCTGTATTTGATAGAAGCATTTTTCTTATTGTTCCTGATAGATATAAAATTCCCCCATTTATTAATGTTCCTAAACCATATTTTGGGCCATGTTAGAAGGTACAGTTCAGTGCATTAGGAGGGCTATTATGTGGGCAGCAAGTTTCTTTTAACAATAGGACAGGATTAAAGTAGTCTTGGATTAAAGAGAGGAGAAAAGGGGAAAACGTAGCATTTTACTACATGCCTTATGAAGGAGACACAGAAGGATTAGGTCTTTCAGTTTATCCTAGTAAGGATCCCACTCCTTCACCCTTAGGACTGCTGATTCTGTTTTTCCATCTTTTTTTTAAAAAAAAGTACATTTTGTGTTGATACTTTGCCGTCTCTCTGATACATGCTGGTTTGTTGAAGAAATATCATATACTCTTTGTGGATAGGAATTAATAAAATGTACTGGATGTACACAATCCCTCCTGAGATTATGTCCATTTCTGTACACGTAAGTCTTAATCCCATCTCTTTGAAGTTCACATTTCCTGACTTTTTTTTTTTCTTCTGTATTCCCTGCCAAGTTCCGAATGTAACTGAAAGAGTGGGAATGTAAGACTCCTCAGATTTATATGGTGTTTCTGAGTTGTTATGAATTTGAAAGCACTGGAACCTTGAAGGACACCTACTATTACAAGGCAGCCATCCTGTCTGAAAACTCCTGAGGCTCATATGAGATTGATGTGAGCACTAAATAAAACCTTGAACTGTTTGCATTTTGTTTTCCTTTAAAACTATTATTCCTATTTCAGAAACAGAGGATTCTTTATTAACTTCAGGTCAGCATAGCGTTAGGTTTCTGCATTGCTCTTTGTCTTGTATTACTGAGAAAAAAATTATATGGCAAAACATCTAATTCACATAGAAACCTCATCTCTGTTAGGTCTGAATGGCTACTACAAATGTTATTTTGCTTTCAGGGGTGTGGCATGGATACCTTAATCAGTCAAGGTTTCTCATATGAAATGAGCAAAAATTTGCCACAGAATTTGAGGATTGGAGCTGTTAAGGGTTAGCCAAATCCGGTGGACATCAGGACCTGGGAGCTTTCTCCCATGTCTGTCTGATGGATGTGGCTGCTGCTGTTTCAATTTGCAGGCCTAGCAAGGCTGAGCACAGCCAGTACAGGTGCAGTCACACACAACGCATGGCTGGCCACATGGACCAGCGTAGGTCCAACACAGACAGCCTGGTCCTGTTCCTCCTCTGCAGCTGACCAGGTTCTCTAATGAAACTTGCACCCTGTGTAGGTTCATTACTACACTACATTCATAGGTCCTTCGAAAATGAGCACAGTCATTAACCCAATCTAATATCCACCTTTGGGTTTGAGGCCCCATACCCAGTTATGGACTGAGACCTTAAATCTTTGCAGATGTGGTCTCCCACGTGCTGGCTAGTCCAGCCTGAATTTTGCTCAGCCTGAATTTTGCTCATGAATTGCACATACACACGTGCACAGTGTAAAGAGTGAGATCACACAGACATTAGGAGAAGGATTTAATGAGAAGACAGGAGATACCGCAGTGATCAGGTACAGGGCTCAGTCAGTGACAACTTGCTCACATGTCACTAGCCCCTTTTATCCCCTCTTCTTTCCATGCTTGTTCTTCCCCCTTTTACCTTAGCCCCTCTCTGTCTCTGTCCTTGTCTTCTCCCAGATAAACAACCCACCCCTCATTACTTTTTTCCTGTTGATCCCAGTTTTGCTACATCTGTACTCCAGTTTGGTATTTCTGATATCATTAGCTAGGCAATCACAGCCTTATATGCTGACACGGATATGGTTACATTGGTACCGCTGACCTTCCAGGTTCTAATCCTCAAAGGCCCTCAATGCTCCCTTCAGTTACCTGTGAAGTTTGGCCATCTTTCAAATGACTCCCTGTTAACCACCTGCGAAATCTTGCCATCCCTCACAGCTCCGTCTGTGACTTTCACTCACTTTTTGCTGTTGTTATACCTAGCAGTTTCTTACGTTATCTTCTGTAGTCCTTATGTTGTGTTCAGTTAGCTAAACCTCAGGCCTGAGCCTCCTTGTATCCTTGCATACCTGAACACCAACATCCCTATAAGAAATAATATTTTATTGTGTTCATGAAACATTTCATTTACAAAGTATTAAACAAGAAATGATGACTGTATTATTATGGCATATAAGCCAGTGTTTCATGCCAGACTATTTCTGTTAATGAAGGCTTCTGCAAAATGTGTGTCTGTGGACTTGGATAAGTTGCAAATGTCATTTTTATCTGAATGATTTTTGTAAACCTGCAAATTACAAGCCAGTGGTACACCCGTTCATCCATTGCACTGCTTACCATTTCTATATGTGGGAGCTCACTAAAGCAGATAAGCCAAGCATGCTCCAGCTAGCTTTGACTGCAGCACTTCTTCTACCACTCTTTGAGAAAGCTCAGCAAGGAATTGCTTCATTGGGGAGGTTCAGCCATTCATTTCCTAATGGTCGCGAGGCTCTTGGGCCCAGCGGTATTGAGCTGGGTGGTCCTGCAATCAAGACCATTTCTCTGCTCCCTGCTAAAATGCATTTCAGTTCAGTTCTCTCTTTGGTGGCTTGTCAGCTGCGTGCTGTAGCTGTGATCTATGGATTTATGAAGTGTACTGCAATTTATAGTAGTACATGTGCTTACTTAACTTAAAATCATCTGTTCAGATCCTTAACATATGTAAACTGCCATAACTGAGTTCAGGCCAAAGAAGCTGTGACAATACAAATTATCAAAAACCCAGCTAAACAGAGTGAGAATGATGGAATAAGCAATATCTTTTACGGTCTGATGTTTCATTTTATATTTTGTTTTGGCTTGTTTTGCTAGTTGGCTTTTTTTTTTTAGTTGTTTTGAAATTGTGGTTTATAGGTAAAGCATGTGAATGTAATTTTTAGTGTGTATGAAAGCAGTACAGAACAAAACCAGTTGTGTTTGGCCTTTCAATGAAAAGAATCATAAGGAATATTAAAAATGCACTAGGGAAAAGGCAGTGAATTGCAACCCTGAATTCTATTTTCAGATTCATTCTTGCTTCAAGACTTCAGTCTGACTGGATGCTGATGCTGTTCTTTGCACACACACACTTGACTGTGACAGTCACTGTTGGGCTGCTTCTGATCCCTAAGGTACTCAAGTCTCCTGTCTCTTTCTTTTGATAAGACTGAGGAGGATAAATGTTATCATGCAGAAGCGATGCCGTATAAAATTAGAAAGCAACTGATAGAAAGGGAAGATGTAAAATTTTTGTATGTTACCTAAAAAACTGTGGGGGCTTTTTTATTTTAAAAACCCTTACATGTTTTCAAAGATTCTTTCTTTCAGCTTTCAAAATTCCAGGGGTTTAAAGTACTTAAAATTTGGATGTGATTAATACAAAAAGGAAAGAATCTTTCCTAACAATGCTTTTTTCAGGTATGCTGTCAGAGTTAGCTGAGATCAGACAAAGAGTTTAAGTGAGGGGATAGAAATAGCAGGATGGACTGCTAAAGAAAACTGGAGTGAGGATTGAATTAGCCATAATGTAGACAGGTTGGGATTTAAACCAGGAGGTTGTTACAGGTGGAAAAAGGAGAGCCCTTTGTGAGTCAGAGCCTCAGATGGATAGGTGCTGTACACCGAGATGGACATGGTCTATGATACGGAGCCAGGAATAGTGCTGGGTAAGAAGATGAGTGTGTGTGGGACATGAGAAGATGGAGGATGATGGGAAGAAGAGGAAGAGGGAGAGGAAGAGGGAGATGGAGA